GACGGCACTTAACAACAACAACAATGAAACACCTATAATATAAAAACACTAGACATGGAAACTCAGTGAGCTTCCTGGTTGGCGACAGAAAATAATGCACAGGAAGGGAAGTAGACCATCTGAGACATGGAAGCTTTGTATTGGGAACCGTCTAAACCTTGTACTATGTGTTTTTTATTTATATCCTTTCTGTCATAATCAAACTGTATAGAAGTCCTGGTAGCACAGTGGTTAAGTACTCAACCACTAATTGAAACGTTGGTGACTGAAGTCCACCCAATCACTCTGAGAGAGAAAGACCTGTAATCTACTCCTGTAAACATTACAGCCAAGAAAACCCTATGGGGTAGTTCTACTCTGTCACATGGAGTTGTTATGAGCTGGAAATTAGCTCAATGACACCTCACAACAATAAAAATCCTACGCATAGCACTTTCCTGAGTTCTTCAGGTTGTTGTAGTGAATCATTGAACCCAAGGAAGTAATGAGAAACTCTGAATTTACAGCCAGTGAATAAAAGTGAAGATGTCATGAGGACTTCTGAGCTGGTGACTTACATCAGCTAGTTAGGGTCTGAGGACAAAACACTGCATTTGAAGTTGTCAGAGAAAAGTTAGAATTCATTGGTGTATACCAGAGAATGCATATACACACACATAGTTGTTGCTGTTGTTAAGTGCTGTTAGATGGTTTCCACTCGTAGTAACCCTGTATGGGGTTTCCAAGGCTGTAAATCTTTGTGAGAGCAAAAAGCCTCACCTGTTGAGGAGCTGGTGGACTTGAATAGTTGACCTTGCACTTAGCAATCCAGCACTTATCATAAAGAGTCACAGTGCTCCCCCCACACACAACATTTTAGGAAGGAATTGTATTACCTCCTCCTGAAGAAACTCTGTTAGTTGTCTTGAATGAAGACTATTATTAATGACCTCTTTCTTTGAAACTTCTATGTTCCATTCTAAACATTTTGATAAAAGGTACTTTTTAAATTTAAAGTATTATTATCATTATATTCAATGCACAGTTCATAAGTTCCACTAATGGTGCCTCTCTCTGAATTTGGGGTCAAGTTTGGCAAATATAGAAATTGATGCTGGTAGAATAACAATAAAGGATATAAGATCAGTTATCTGACTCCTAGCTCATGATGGGGCATAGCCCACTGCTATAGCCTAGAAAGCGATGGGAAGACTGGGAGACCTGAAATTAAACCTTCCTACTACTGCAAGGTCAGCAGTTCAAAACCACCAGCTGTTCCCATGTGATAAAGATGAGGCTTTCTGCTCCCGTAAAGATTTACAGCTTCGGAAACCCTGTACAGGGTTGGTATGAGTCGGAACCGACTCCATGGCACATAACAACAATAACAACACTAGGATTGGGTCAGGTATCAAATTATGGACAGGTGTCCAATTCCAAAAACACAATACAGGATCCAGAGGGTTTGGATGACAATTGTGCTATTGACTGAAAGACGTGTCTGAGTAAGGTCTTCAAAACAAGAAGGAAAGAGCATGTCAGTGCACATTTAATCCTGTTCAGGGCCCAGAGTGACCTGATGCTATGGAACTGTATTTGTTATTTAATGGGAATATTCTCACAAACATATCTTGACTTTAGTTTTTTGGGAAAAAAATAAGCTCCAAGAATATCTAATGCTGTTTATTCATCTTCTTTATTCACCAACTCTCCTTTTACTTCATTTGATCTTCAGAGTAATTTTGCCCACTATGACTAAGTGCTTTATGAAAATTTCTTACCAAACAATTCTCTTTTTCTAAATTAATGTTAGTGTTCTGTTTTGCAGTGAATTAATTTCGCATCAATTGATCACTCTTAAAACTTAGTTTCTATTTAAGGTATTCTGAGATATAAACAAAAACTGCTGACCTGACTATCCTGCTCAGTGAGACCCCTTTCAGAAGCTTGCTCAGTATGCATCTCATTCCTCTGTTTTGGGTTCATCTCCTCAAGCATGGGATCCAACCTGCTTCTCTCATATCATTCTTGCTCTTCCATTTCTTTCAACCTGTGATTTCAGGTCGTACTCTCACATCATTCCTTTGGCATGACTGTGTGAGGTGGCAAATTTGACCTTTCTTGAAGATAATTCATCCAACATGTTCTGACAATGGACCAAAGATATAGTATTCCTATCAGCAAGTATAGTTTCTGGAATGCTTCCACAGAACACTAACCCTAGGTTCTGTCCTTACTGCCTAATAAACTTTATCCAAGCGTCTCCTGAAGCAATGATTGCAGCCATGTCCTTGAATGACAGCAGAGTTTAATGGTCGCAAGCACAGAGCCTAACCTGTACTGCATGTGAATTCTGACTCCACTGCTTACTAATCATGTAACCTTGCACAAGTTGCTTTAACCTATGTGACACAGTTTCCTCATTTTGAAAAAGAGGTAGTAACAGACCCTACTCAGAAGGCTAGAGTGGTGGAGTTACACTATGCACATTGTCTGGCACGTAATTAGTGTGCTGTGCGTTTTAGCTGCTGTTGTTACTTTCCTTCCTCTGAGGAAGTGAGCACAGAGCTTATTTGAATGGGGAGAAGGAAAAAGGAATACAAGGAGAAAACAGTAGATTTATACTTTAAAATATTATTTATCATGGGACAATTATCACATAACAATATTTTATTTTTTTAAAGTCTAAATGTCAGCAGTTTGAATGCTTTAAAATGAAATATTCACATCTCTTGTGTGTACAGATCACTTCAGCAATTGCTAACTTTTCTCTTTCCAGTAAATCATGAAGATTAACTTTTCCTTAATAAGTGTCAAAATTTTCTGAGTCAATGACAGGAGAATGGTCAATGGAGAAGTCAAACACTGGTTGGCAATGTTTGGTTCCGGAAAACAACAAAGAAGAGAAAGAAAACACAACTTTGGTATTTTACTGGAATCTAAGTTAATAAACAGGGACCACAGAAAAAAATAGCAAATAATAGCTTGAGTTACATCACAATGGAAAAAGAAATAATGAACCTGAATTTCAAAATTGAAACCATTATGCAACATGATTAATAGTGCTGGCATAGCTCCTACTAAGCATTAGAAATCCTCCAGTATTTTAAACAAAAAGAACAACTTGTCACAGTACCATTATACTTACTTGGTGGTATAGTGGTTACGAATTGTGCTGCGAACCACAAGATCAGCAGTTCGAAACTACCAGTTGCTCCACAAGAGAAAGATGAGGCTTTCTGCTCCCGTAAAGATTTACAGCCTCGGAAACCCTGTACAGGGTTGGTATGAGTCGGAACCGACTCCATGGCACATAACAACACCAACACCAACATACATTTCA